TCTTTCAATCATCAGTCATCTTTTGCATCTGACTTTGAAAGTAACCGTCTTCTTTCTTGTGTGTGTAATGCAAGTATGAAAGTATATATGTAGATTAGATACATATGTAGATTTAAAATGCATACATCATTAAAACTCCCCTCATCCAAACAACCCCTAAGCAAATAATTCTATAGTGAAATCTAACAAAGCTCTAATAATCCCTTTAAACACAACACTAAAATGTAAATTTGCATCTCTTTCAATGGACAAGCTTGAATAGAAAAGAAAAGAAAAAGTTATGGACAGGATGTCAGTCCCCATTATAATGGTTTGGTGTATTATTATATGCCATATGAAGGTGTGACGACACTGTTTGTTTGTTTTTCAAAATAATGGCAAAACAAACAAACAAACAGCTAAATACAAATAATACTCCCAAATTTTGTGCACTGATGTATTTATATTAAACATGTTGCTGGAGACATTTGGCTTGCCAGCTGGGTAATGGGAAATCCACTGCAGTATGAAAGGTGGCATAAATGCTGTCAGCAAGCATATGGGCATGTAGGAGTCATGCTGCGCTCCATCCTGTGCTTCTGGACACCATTATGTAGTTCTGTGGGTTGCTAATTGTACCAAAGGAATGAGTGGCTTGAAACCCTGTGTGCCTGTGGGAGGCCTAAAAATGTGTCAGATTGGAGATGTGCTGTAAATAAGTTGATAAACAGTTTAAAACAATATGGATCTAGCTTTTAACTAGCAACAGGGATGGTCAAACCACCGTTGTCTACAGCACAAAAGTCAAACAAACATTAAAGACTGAACCTTTTTGTCCACAACCACACAGTGAAATTCCACAGGAAAACTCAAACGCTGTTGGAAGCTACCAATTTTGCAGGTACCACTTCTCTCTTTCAATTTTTGTAAACATAAAGATTGCAGTGCCTGCTCTGTGTGTTCACCTGAACTCTAAGAGTTTCTTCAGTATTTGCACAGAGCATAGACAAAGTCTGCATTTTCAACAAAGTGGACGGGATGCAAAAGTGACTGAATACGGAGAACAGCACTGAGGGATTGCCTTTATTAGAGCAATATTTTGAAGGAAATATGCACCTAAAACCTGCACGAACCTACACATTGCTCGTGAATGCATGATAAATGAAGACAGCTCATCCTAGCCAAGACACATTCCCTCAGTTATGCACAGGTTGTGACACTGAAATCTGTATGTGCAATTTTTCAACCCAAAGCCAAGGATCAAGTCTTCCACAGGACCAGAATGCCACATAACTGTCATTTCTTTGGTAGACATGCGTTGTAGACCAGATTGGACAACAAGAGTGCTGAAACGTATCACAGAAAGACTTTGTAATCAGGTTAGAAGAAAATGAATACCTGTAAATATCTTACAGAAATTAATTTTGGATTAGTGTGTGACGCTTTCTGTGTGAAGATCGCATGTTCTCCTCATGCATGCGTGGGTTTCCTCCCACAGTCTAATATAATGCAGGTTTGGTGAATTCGTGACTCTAAATTGACTGTAGGCGTGAACTCCCTTTTCTCACTATGCTCTGTGTCTGTGTGTGTGTGTGTGTTTATGTCAGTGTTGTGAGAGACTTTATTTGTCCAAGACTGTACTGCGCTACTCGTCAGCCACTGTAAGCTAGGAGAGACTCCAGCCCGCCATAACAGGATAAGCAAATCAAAGACTGGTGGACAGATTTTTCCACTGCATATTACTAATGGGTGGGTTTTACTGAGAAAATTGTGAGCCGGCTCCTCGTGATGGTTCTACAGCAGCTCCACACCAAACTCCTGGAATACAGCCAGCTCCTGCCTGATGCAAGATTTTGCACATCGTGC